CTGTTCGCGTAATCGTGATTTTTGTGATTTTAGACACGTTACGTTTCAAATGGCTGAAAAGACTCGAAAACCAAAAGTAGCACAGTCGAGAGGATATTTTCTGTTCAGCACATCGTATTCAGTTATTTTTTGATGTTTAAGATAGCTATTGTGTTGGTTTTATAAAAATCAAAACAACTCGTTTGGTACATGGCCGATAAAGTTATGAAAAAATCGATAATTTGAAAAAAGCAACGTGGGAACGAAGTATGGCCGCCCTTGAATAAACAGTGTAATCCCGTTATCAATTTAAGTTTATTTGCTTGACAAGCTTAGTTTTGAGTGTTATACCATATCACAACAAACAATTGTTTATGTGACCGTTAAACTTGAACACTGTCATGTCTACGCTCCCTTTCTCGCAACTTTCTTGTAAGCCACGGCACCAAGCGAAAATGTCATCAGAGCAGAACTACATAAATTTTATTTGTACTAAATACCGGCGATGAAACTTTTGTTGTTGTTGAATATCAATTTAAATTCGTAATTGAAGTAAAAAAAAGGCCTACTATTTGCTGACTGAATCCGCTTGGAAGCAAGTCAGTCAAGCTTGCCGACAGCACTATCGTGAATTACAGGTTGTCGTTTTTGCTCTATAACTCGTTACAATCAGAGTTTCGTTTAGTTTAGTTCAGTCGACTTGCAGTACGATTGTTATACAATTATTACCAGCACAAAACAGTTTACATTTCCAAGAGCTAAGAATGTACATGTAACTGATTTGTCTACGTACCACCGATGCATCACTCAAATTCATTTGAAAGTCAGTCTGCCATCCCAAATGACACAATGGACCTGATTAGTCTATTTTTGACAACCTCATATTCTTAGCCAATCCGCGTACATGTGTTATGTTTGAAAAGCCGCATGTTCATCGGAGACTAAAGTCAGATTCCCAGCCATAACGAGATTCTTCATGGATATTTATTTTTCCAGTTTTACACCAAGAACATTTACAGTGGTCAGCTAGATTCAATATCAATATATCCAGGTCATTGAGCCTTTCATTATTCGCTTTACCGTAAGCGTTGCCAGATACTGCAGACTTCGCTGGCGATATTTTTCGTTTCGACATCATGCTCATTTTGTATGTTGATGTTGTGTCATCAGCCTCCAGTGACAGTATAGTGGTGTCCTCATCATGAGCATTTGAGGTAGTTACGGTGGTGTCTTCAGTCTCCAGTGTGGTGGAGCAGATGTCACTTGGGTTTTCACTCGACTTGTCTGTTGTCGACTCGTCCAACTTTGTTTCCGTAGAGGGACTGTGTACGTAGTAAAAAATATGGTTTCTGCTATTCAGAAACTTGCAGGTTTCGCTTGTTATTGGGACACTCTTTTACCGATTTTTTTTCCCAGTGCCATTTTTTAAAATAAACTTGATCAATACAAAATAAATGAACAGTAATATATAGTAGAGAAAAGCGATGCGATGAACTATCAAAAACGAGTGAGTGTATCCGGTCATTTGACCGGGCGCGTACACACGATGTTTATTTGCAGGATTAAGCTAAATACAAATGTTATTGTTTAGGCACAGTGGGGCTTAGACGAAGTGCACATTCCAGGGATTTCCGTTACTTGTAAATTACTTTTTATTTTTTAAAAAGCCGTTTTTCTTGAAATAAAAAAGTGATTTAATAAAAAAACAAGATCGTATATGTATAAGTCACCGTTTAATAAAAGAAGAAAAAAATTAAAATCACCACAAAAGTCTACTACATTTTTAATAGTGGGTCAATGTTAATATTGAACTTAGCATGCCTAATACATGGTCGGTTAATACTACGGTAGCATGCAAAATACTGATTGAACAAAATTCTCCAATTTTTGTTTTTCATGTAGATGATTTACAGTCGTATAGCATGCCACAAGGTAATGCCATGGATGAGGAACTGGTATTCACCGATAGAATGTACGATGGCGTCAATAACAACGGTATATTGAAATATGGACTCGGACAGTTAACAGACGGCAAAGTTGCTGATAATTACTACGATCACATGGACCCATATTTTGGGAAAGGTTACCACTGGGTAGGATGGGATCGTCAGGCAACACCGCAACTGGAAATTACATTCCGCTTTGACTCGGTACGAAACTTCACATCCATGATGTTGCATTGTAACAATCAGTTTGATCAAGGAGTGTCGTTATTTGCATCGGTGGTTATCTGGTTCAGTGTAAAGGGAGGATATTATTCTACTAATTCGTTGAGATTCACTCCGCAGCGAGATGATACGCATCCAGACGCGAAACACCTTAATATTGAACTAAATCACAACATTGGCGAAACTGTCAAGTGTCAGTTTGAGTATTATTCTCGCTGGATTATGTTCAGTGAAGTCAGTTTTGAGTCATGTAAGTACATAAGTTGTCATATTTTTTGGATATTATATTTACCATTTGATGTAAAACCGATTTTAGTATTATTTCTATTAGGACAGTTTTCATATTCTGGTATTCTTCATGGCCAACTTTTTAAAAATCAATAAATAAATAAAAATATTTGGTTTCCATACTCAATTTAATAATATACAACACGTAATACAAGAATTCAGTATTTAAATTATATACAGAATACAGGACAGTTGTACTGACGCAACATGCATGTTGAATTCTGTAGTAAATGATTAATTATATCCAGTGGCTTTGGCCTTGTTATGAATCTTACTGTGTCTCACTAGAACTTGGTGAGTCAGTAGGCCCTGTTTTTGTCATTGAACCTCTGGTAAATATCATGAAGCCAGGCAACCAACACTATGCTTGTTAATTACAGACTTTATTGTTGAGTCCCAAGTGATGACAACAACACACGGTAAAAACGCAAAGGCTCATGGGTAGACATTTGTTTGTAAGCAATGACACGTTATCGCCATCTGGCGCATGTGCAGGCGACAACTTCCCCGCTTTAATCTTTTTATCACAACCAAGAGAAATACACTCTCATGGTGTGGAAACTGCAGCGAGAAGTGAAAACAGTTTGAGTTTTCTCTGTGGATGACTACTGCCGGTGGTGTGATACAATCCTATGTAACGCCTGACACAACAGTGTCCATAAATAAACTGATGATGAATGTTTATAATGTTATATGAATTAAATTATTTCATTTCATTACTTAATTGTTCTCATCCTGTTTCTCTTGAACAGCCTTCATGACAGAAAATTACACTGTACCCAGTAGTACATCCGTTCCTTATGATGTTGACCCGATGTTTGTACCAGTCAAACCGACCACTCATCCTAGTACTGGTAGACAGAATGAAATCATTGCACTCTCATCTACAACTGGTGAGTCATTTTATAAGGGATAAGGGATAAGTAATAAGACACATGTTGATGGTGAATTTTTGGCAATTAAACAATTTCAAATTTTTATGTTAATATTTCTACAAGAATGGTATCTAGAATTGTGGAAACAAATTAAAATAAAAGAAATAATTTAGAATTTTCACGTTTAACCTATTCACCACCAGATTTTATAGCCCCAATTTTGGTGTACTTTTTAGCTTTGCTGTCGACTTTGTCAATCAGAGCTTATCATATGAGTGATTGTGCGCCGTTGTCGTTGCCGCATTTTTACTTTTTCAATTTTCTTCTTGAAAACTAAAAGCCTGATTCCTTTGATACTTGGTGTATATGTACCTCAGGTAGACCTCTCTTAGATTTTGCTCATTTCGTGATGATATCTTTAATTCTCTAATTTTGGTGGTAAAAAAGTCAAGTATATTTGAAATATGCTAATAAGCCGATTTCATTTTCTACACAAGATTAACTGCAAAAGTATTCAATAGATTTCTCAACCCATGTCTAAGTATATGCAGATTAAAATTTTGGAAAAAATCTGTGAAAAAATTATTTTATGAATGGTGACAGAGATGAACTTTGTTGCTCAAGGATCATGGCTGATATTTAGCGTCTTTTCACAGGATCTGCCGAGAAACCAGAAAAAATTGTCAAACCTGCTGCCAAAGCGAAAACTGGACTGATTGGTGGTCTGGTCTGTCTGGTCATCATCATTGCTATCCTCATTGGTGTAATTCTGATATTGCTATGGCGACAGAAACAAAACAAATCGTTAATGAAAGGACCGAGGATAGTGGAGCAAGTTCACTGTGATTTGAATTCAGTGCGTATTACGAACAATCAGCTTGGGACACAACACTCGCGTCGCAGTAATCCTACATATGACCAGTTACTGCTACAAGACGACCCTGAGGGTGACGTACCTTGGGTGTCAAAACGATCGTTACCAGAAATACCACCAACCTGCGTAGAAAATTCAGGTAATAATTCTCAGAAATCTTGTCTCTTGACAAAGACACATTAACAATATAACCATTTTTGCCGTTGATCCCACAGTATTTTTGCAATTTTCTGTATCATGTTATTTGGTTGCGATTGAGTTTTACCTGATTACAGTTGATTTTCTCACGTAAAACAGTGTAGGTGTAAGAAAAAGATGGATTTTACATCTTGCATTTCAACGCTTACTACAAAACTACTTTTTGAAATAATCAACCAGTTTCAGGGATTGCTGTAGAAAGCCTACCCGTAATAGTTGTGGTCAAACTGTTCAAAAAGACATCCATATTCTATGTTTTGTTTTGTTTGTGTGCAGTTGTAGTGTGAGCGCCCTCTATTGGCCACACTGACACCAAATTTACTTTGTTTATGAAGACATCTGTGAAATCTTTTCCACCCAGTTCTCTTTACTGCTATGTTTACTTGTGACTGTTTTGAGGTTTTGAGGTGTTCTCTCTCGTAGCACGATCCGTGTTTCCCTAGGTTTAATAAAGCACTTTCCGTTTCTGCCAAATCTTGATTTCCCTGATGTGTTTAATAATAAATAGCTATTATAAGAAAAATAAACTAGTGAAAAAAAGAGCTACTGATCGAACTACTACTAAATTTCTACCAGTTCTGATTTACCATGTACAGTTACATGTATACCTGCCAAGTTTGTGTGTAATTTTTAAGCAACACATAATAACATATATTTGTTAATTTTCCAGGTTGTTCATCAAGAATTTATGCAGAACCTGACATCACTAAATCAACAGGGCACAGCAGTAAATCCAACTTTCTTCAACAACCGTACGCAGAAACTGACGTCATCCACAAATTCAATATTCAGGGCGTATCTGGTAATAATATTTACTCTGTGCCGTCAGCAAGTCTGGAAAAGCTCACTAATTTGAATCCTGTCGCACCAGAAATAAACATGGAAGACTTGGAATTCCTGGAAGTTCTTGGAGATGGGCAGTTTGGACAGGTGAGATATTTGTGTTAACGTATTCCTTGAAAATTGATATGTATCACAGTGGTTAACCTTTTCACCACCAGTTCATTAAAATTCACAAAATAGTCCCATTTATAGTCTGCACTTTCCTTCAGAAGATTGGGACAAAAATAGTCAATTTTTTTTAATAAAAACTGAAAATTGATTCAAATTTTGTCTGTTGGCTTCAAAATTAAGGTTCAGAAATATTGAAGAAAAAGGGCGAAAAAGTTTGATCATGAAAAGGGAGTTTGCAGGTTTGACTTCCATGATTGGCTGCTTACTCAGCAGTGGAAAAGTGGGGAAAAAAAATTAGTACACCTGCTCACTTATCTGGCTTGTATATGTAGCTTTTATATATATGTGAGAGACATGAATGACCAGTTAGAGAAAACATAAATTTGTTTACCTCTACAAGGCTTCTGTACTGCGTACATGTGAGCCTTTACAGCAGGAGAACCTAGTACATGCATAGGGGTTACCGTATGTCTAAGTTTACTATGCAATGAAACCACTAGTATACTTGTTACTATTAACGCAACGACCCTGTTCACTTTATTTTTATAAATATTTATAAATTTCAATAAAAGTTTAATGCAACCAGCCAATCAGTGTATTGCGCAATGACATCATTTGAAAATGTTTCAATGTTATTCCGTTGGCAAATAGGAACATTTCTCATTTCAGTTTGAATTGTGTAATGTGTAAAGATTTATAAAAATAACGAGAATGGCTTTCTTGTGTGGATATGATTACCGCATGATTGTAATAATCTTTAATTTTTTTTTTGTCTCATTTTGTAAGGTTCATTTGTGTGAAATTGAAAATCATGAGTTACTAAATGGAAATGGTGCAAACAAACAAACAAATATACTGGTTGCTGTCAAGATGCTGAGAAAGGATGCAAACAAAAATGCCAGGTATGTCACCTCATGAGGGTGCTGTTGCTACTGTATTCTGTCCTCCCTGTTGTATCCTCAACTCGAAAAAAACATTATTTTTAATAATTTATATTTTACGCTCACTGTATGCAACGTTTGGAACACTTTAAATAATATGTATTCTTGTCTACTTTATATCATGTAGATCTGATTTCATGACAGAAATAAAGATAATGTCTCAGTTGCATCATGATAACATAGTAAGACTGCTGGGTAAATGCACCAAGGAAGAGCCTTGGTGTATGATTGTAGAGTACATGCCAAATGGGGATCTGAATCAGTTCTTGTTTGACAGAGATCTTGATACACAAATCAATGGTGCAGCAAAATCTCAACCAATCAGGTAATGATGTTATTTATTTATATATTTATTTATTAGAAATGCATATAAACGAAAAAATGCATTTATTATATGTACTTAATCTTTAAAATACTGTAGAATACTTTATTTTCGCTTGGAATTAATTTTTGCTATTTTCACTGAAGGAATAAAATTCAGTGAAAATAAAATCCAGCGAATATACCTTTTTTCCTATATTTCACATTCAACTCGTCTAAAATCAGTGAAAATAAATTCCATACAAAACACACAAAAAGTCTTTTCAGAGAAAATTAATTCCAGCTAAAATAAAGTATTTTACAGTATAACAGATTTTGACCATAGAAACACCTCCAAATTCCAATGCGGCTTTGAATGGATTACTTCATAATTCTGTTGTTTTCAGTGTTAGATAGATAAAAGCTCTATAATGATTTGAAAATATTTTTTTTTATTGAATTTTTTTTGATAAACTTGAGTTTAATTTTGTAAACATGAATCAAAACATCATGTATGCATGACTATGATTCACTATTGGGTGGAATTAGCTTTCTATTATCTGTGAAAACGTCAGGATGTCGCTCAGCTTCAAATATTGTTTGTAAGTTTATATTATATTTGTTAATTTCTCTTTTGATCAGTTTTGAAGATCTCATATACATCGTGAAGCAAATAACTGATGGTATGCAATACTTGTCATCGTTAAATTTCGTACATCGCGACTTAGCGACCAGAAACTGTCTAGTAGGACAACGTTACAGGATACGTATTGCAGACTTTGGAATGAGTAGAAGTCTCTACTCAGCTGACTATTATAAAATTGAAGGCAAAGCAATTCTACCAATTAGATGGATGGCATGGGAATCAATATTATATGTAAGTAACAATATTTGAAAAAGTTTTTCTCTACTTCGTAGAAAAACAGACGGAGTAATTTTTTATAGCTGGAATTGAAAAGACTTTTTGGGTGTTTTGTTTAGAATTTATTTTCACTGATTATTGAAGAGTTGAATGTCAAATATAGGAAAAAGGTATATTTTATTTTCACTGAATCATTCCTTCAGCAAAAATGGTGAAAATTACTTCCAAGCGAAAATAAAGTATTCTACAAAACTATATGAAAATCAGATTTAGCAATTGATGTAGTAAACACGAACCATATGTACTATGTACACATGATGTAAATTGCTCAGAACCCATATTTCATGTTTGCGATTACATGCATGTGGCAGTCTAAGTCCCTAGGTAAACCAGACCTGGATCTGAACTGATTTTAATTTGCGTCATGGTTACTCATGATAGTGGCTCCTGTTTTTAAATTCTACCTGAGGGCTGAACACTGAAAAGCAATTGACCCATAACCAGAGTGTGCCAAAGCTATTGACAGAGATTTTTTCACTAACAGATACTAATTTAGGGGTAAAATTCCTTAAAAACCATTTCGAGTATTATGATAGAAAGACGGTAACACTGTCAAATAAAGACGTAGATATTAAATTAAATTTCCGAGGCCACTTTTATGTACTTATCAGCCCTTTCATATTGCATATAAAAAAAGGGTTACGGGTGATGACAATAATATTCAACATCTGGCGCAAAAAATGAAATTTTTAGGGATCTAATAAATGTTGAAAGATGCCAGTTACTCAAAGAGACTTACAATATTTGTTCCATAAACCAAGTTAAATTTATTTATTTTCAGGGCAAGTTCAGTACCAATAGCGATGTCTGGGCATATGGTGTAACACTATGGGAGATTTTCACGTTGGCAAAAGAACAGCCTTATTCAGATTTAACGGACCAGCAAGTCATAGAAAACACGGGTGAATACTACAGAAATACCGGCGAAGAGGTAATTCTGGATAGACCATCTGCTTGTCCTAAGGATATCTATTGTTATATGAAGCAGTGCTGGAGGCGAGACACGGAAACGAGGCCGACATTTGATTATTTGGATGGAATATTCCAACAAAAAAATGATGGATATGAACCAGAATTTGAAGATTAGGGATGGTTGTAAATGTTGAACTTTGACCCTAATTTGGTTGTTCGTTGTTTGTTTCTTCCAGGGTACATCGACAAATGTTTTGATTATTTCCTGTCTTCCACAACTATTCATTTTCTTAATTAGGATTCATTAAAATTTAATAATGATAATAATTAACCAAGTGGAGAGACAATTTCAAAATCAAACATGTGCCAAATTTTAGTGATTTCTTCATAATCATAGTTTCACAATAAATACGATACTTTTCGCAAAGTATATGTATGCTGCCAAATTAGAGTTTTATAGAGTACAATTGTTGGTACCAGGTGAAAATGTGAAATTTTTAATTTCAGTATACTGCATAGAAACTCATATTTCACAAAATGAGTCAAAGTAGATAACTCTAAGTATTTTTTTTAGCTTGTTTAAAATAAGTTGTTTGATTTATTGTAATTTAAAATGTTGTCTTAGCAGTAAACCTACATAAGTATTTGTTTAATGCAGTTCATAACATTATTTCTCTGAGAAATGCTGCTAAGTTTGATTCCACAATATTTTTATGTAAATCATAAATCATAAATTGTTGCTAGCGAAATTAAAATGTCAAACGTAAATACACACATTATACCATTGCTTGATGCAAGTATACACCGAGCAGCTCCTTGTATGGTATTAAAGTATTGTGTGTATGAATAATGCTATAATTATGAAATCCATTTTTATTCTCAATATTTTTTTGTTTCTGATTTGAACACTGGATGTTCTGTTGTCATGGTGAAAGGATGCATGTTATTCATTGAATATTTTAAAATTAATATTTCATAGAGAAGATAGAAAGTGATTCTGATCTTTTATTTGGTAAAAAGGTGTTTGTTTATTAAATTGTTTTAATATAAATGAGCTGAATTCTGACAAACAGGATATTAAATCTATGCGAGTCCAACATTTTTTTGTGCATATATACGGTATGTAATTTGCCCAGTGATGCATTGCATATTTTTTGAAACTAGAAATTTCCATCAAATGACTGGTGCTTAAAATCGTACTTAATCAAAAAATGTACTTTTTTCTTATAAATGATACTTACTATTGGAACTGAAAGCATTATAAAATATATAATCCATTGTCTCACCACGCTTTATATCTTGTCAACTTAATCAGAAACTTTTGCTTTCACATATTGGATGAATTACCATAGTTCCATAGTTTTAATGTATTTCCATAGTTCAGTATTTAAGCAGGATTTGAATGGGTATTGCCATGCAGGGAAATGCATGTCTGAACCTTGTATATATTTTTTATTAATTCATTGACCATAAACTTTAGAATGACTTAAAATCTGTGGATTGATCAAAGATTTTATAAGTTCAGTGTATGCAACTATACATCAGTATGGGATATATGAATTCTATTTTAAGTATGGCAGCATATTCGCAAGACAAATATTATTGGAGGTATTGAACATCAAATATGTGTGTCTGTGATGGATCTGGCTGTAAGTGGTTGTTTCAAGCAGGGTTTTCTAGTAACCCTTTTTGTTAAGGGTATATGTTGTGCATTTTTACCAATAAGCTTGTAAATGAAGTTTTTTCTTTCACAATCTAACATTGAGTGAGTTGATTGAAATGTACTAAATAAACTATGATCAGCATTATCACATTTTAAAACTTACATGTACAACTTTTTTCAAAGCTACGAAAAAATTTATGATTCTACCGTCGATTAAATTGTGATTTCAGTCGCTGAACTGTTGACACGAAGCATCGTGTTCGATATCAGTCCCAATATATAATATAAATTGTTCAAATAAATTCTGAACACTCGCTGTGTGACAATGAGACCACCTGTTGAAGATTTGTTACCAAAAGTGTACATACCATTCATATTTTTTTAGATTTTGTCTGTAAAGTTACGCACTTGACAGCCATTGGTGCTGTTCGCTGTTGAGAGTACATGTACTTGGCGAAAAGTGTGTGTGGCTGTCAATATGTTAAAAGTAATACCATATTTTCTCTATTTGAAGCACATCTCTATATAAAAGTGCACATAAACCGATAATGAAAAATATAAATATTTTAAAACTTGAGGGCAATCGCAGGGATATTGTGTCATTGTGACGATTCATCTTCAAGACCTTGATGAAATTTTCACTACCACAATATTTTTTCCCGACTCACAAGGAATTGTTTTGCAAAATCAAATTGGTTTACAGTTTATATCACAATAAAACCCCGAAAAATAATTTGGTCAGTGGATTCACTCCAACTGTGTTGTCAGATGAATTTGTTGTTGTTGATTTTGGGATTTTTTTTCAAGACTATAATTTCTCAAATCTTTCATTGTGGTGTGAGGTTTGGACATCTTGCAATTTATGATCTTATTTTTGCACAATAACAAAAATAGTTTTCCATTTGCTTTAATAGACTTTTCATGCAATATTTGCTGTATTCATTTTTAAAATAAATTAAAAAAAATTGCTCACTGATCCTAGATTTTTTCTTGAAAAATTCGCTAAACAAGTTATACATGTTTTACCACATAAATTTGCACACCTAAAGTTTTAAATGGTAATATAATAAACATTTTAGAACATATTTCATAACATTTTTTTGAAGATAAAAAAAAAGTATTTTCTACTAAAATAGTTTATATTACATTATTTTTAAAGTTTATTAAACAACTTTTTTCTGTGTGTTCATGTTATGGATTCTACAAAGGGTAAATAAAAAGATGAGGATGTGTATTAAACCCTGATGACATGTGATCACAAATTTGTGAGATTTCTGTGATACCATCTTTGCATATCATCTTTATGTACCTTTTTACTGACTCTTACGTCTAAAACTTGGTTCATTTGGAATCCTGGCGTGGGACAATAGGTGATTATCTATTCCCTGCAAGATCTTGCATAATGTGTAAAATGTACAGATCTAATGTCTGCCATAAAAATCGAATAAATTTGATTTTGAACTTAATTTTTTTTTATAGTTCCATATAAAAAATGCTGATCTTTAAGTGAGGAATATGGCTTTGAGATACCCTTACTTCATCAAAATCTACCATCATTAAATATGTATAGCACAACGATGCAAATAACCCCCAAAATATAACTGATACAACGTTATGATTATTATTTGTTATTTTTCATGTTCAATTTCACTCATAATGTGAGATCTCGCAGTAAACGGAAAATTGTCTATTTATAAAAAAGCGCAATGGACATTATACTTGTTTTGTAGTAAGTAAACAAAACATACTCGAGTTTTAGTTTTATGCCTGAAAGTAACATGTATCCCTCACACTGTTCTTTGTAAATTTCTTTTGTTTTTCAATGTGTGCTGGTTTCACTGTATGTTGTTCTGTGAATTACAACAAATATCTATTTTTCCAAATATTTGCCAACATTTATAACGGCATTCACAAACATATACTGCTGAAAAACAATTGACTTTTTATTATGTACAACTCTTGTGCATTCCTATGAGTAGTATTGTAAATAAACAGCTATTGCAAGTAATACAATGTTTGTCTGTGTATTTTTGTTGTTTATTTATTTCCTCGATGTACTAAATTGCACATAACACAAGTCTAACATTATGATGAGGAGCATAATAAATGGTTTTATTCAAGGAAATTAAATATTTTGGACCACCATTATAAGATGAAAATGTTCTCAAAGCACCAGGTTATTGTCTGTCGTCGTCGTCTGTAAACAATTCTATTTTTGACTTCTTCTTGAAAACTACCAGGCCAATTACTTTAAAACTTGATATGTAGGTACATTATATGGTCTTTGCTTCATGACAATATCTTCAATTTTCTATGTTTCGCAAAAAATGGTATTTTTGACTTGACTTGAAAACTAGCAGCTCAATTGTTTTGATACTTGGTATGTAAGTACTTTGGGTGAACATCTGAGATTTGTCCATTTCTGTGACGATATTTTCAATTCTTATTTTAGTGTGAATATTTTTGTCTTTTTTGGGGGGGGCGGAATGCATTTTTCGACTTCTTGAAAAACCACCATCTCAATTGCTTTGATACTTACTTTGTAACAAGTTGATAAAAATTGTAATTGCCATGGTAACTACCATTCACTACCATGGTTGTGATAAGACAAGACCATCTTGGTACCAATAACCGTTGTATAGAACTCAACTGTGTTTTGAGGAAGGTTTCTGGTGTATATTCTGACAACCATGATTCGGATAGATATTTTGTTAGGTCAGTAAATTTATAAAAAAAATAGATATAATATACACATTATTGTTATAAATATTTGGACAATCCAAGTTTTAAACCTTTTAGGAATGGCACAGTTTCATAAGCATTGACCGATCCTCTTGTGTCTGGAGATTATGTAACCCCCCCCCCCCCCAAAGAGCTAAAACTATAATTTGGTTTCTAATGCTAACTTGAAATTATCTTTCACAATTTCCATTTTTTGTTCAATTTCTATCATTTTAGCAGTTTTGTTGCATTCCATATATACAGAATGTATTCGTTTATACTCTGCCACAGTCTGTTTGGCATACTCCCTAGCTTTTTTATAATTTTTCAGTTGGATGCATGCTTCTGTTAAGTAACCTAAGGACTCTGCAACGCCGTCGTTTTGTGGTTGTTGGGCAAGTACTTTCCTTCTCAACTCCACTGCTTCTCTGAAATTGACCTTCGCCTTCTGAAGCTTACCGGCACGAAGCATCACTTCTCCCAGCAGATGCATCGTGCTAGCGGTGGATGTGTGTTCTCCCATTCGTTTTTTTCTAATCTCCAATGATTTTTTAAAATTTACTTCCGCGTTTTCTAAATCTGCGATGCGTGAATAAACTTTAGCTCTGTTGTTATAAATTAGCGACATATCATGGTGATCCACTCCCATCTTGCGTCTCATTTCATAAGCTTCATCTAACAACTCTAGCGCTTTCTTCGTGTTTCCTCGCTTACTGTATTCCATGGCTACGTTATTCAACGAAATCACAATATCGTTTGCAGGCTTCTTGTTAAATCGTTTTTTGGTTCGCAGAGATAACTTGAAATAATGAAACGCTTTCTCAGTATTGCCCAGTTGGTTGTAGTATAGACCAAGACCGTTCTGCATGCCACCCATAATAGGATGGTCTCCGAATAACTTGCCACGCATCGAGAGTGACATCATGTGATATTTTTCACCTTCTGTCAGCTCCCCTGCAGAAAAGTACAAACAATTACTGAGTTTAGAAACACAGCTTCATTACATGTATTATTTTTGTACTTTATTATATAGGTAATGTATTAGAATTGCCATCGACAACAAATGTGTATCTCACCGACAAATGTATGTACAACACCAAGACTTGATAGTGTGGATGCAGTGTGTCTGTGGGGTATCATGCCGAGTCTTTTCTGTATATCGTAAGCTTTGTAAAGATACCTGCAATGGGAAAATACCTAGTAATATATCTGTGTGCAGTATTTTAAAGGGCGGTGGTCGTCGCGTCGATCCTGTTCGATATGGGACTCACAGCGACGTATACAACGCATGTAAAAGGCATTGTTTGTTTACATGATCATACGAACACGCGCTGCGCGACGTCCACGCCCTTTAAACAAAAACTGTAGGACTCATCCAAATTGCTCAGTTTCGCGAACTTTCTGTAAACATACTCTCACGTGAACCTGTGACTGATTCTACAAGGTTGCTGGCTTTATTAGAAGAATTAAAAAAAATTAAAAATCTCTTGAACGCATTGAATACTATACCTCAATGCCTGGCGTTCTTTACCCTGCATATGCCGATTCCATCCAATACTGCTATACACTCGTGCCAATGTATCTTGCATGTCAGTCATTGGTGATAATAATTCAGCGGCTTCATTGTAATTATCGCTTGCTTCCTGCCAATTACCTGCAAACAATCAACTTTCTTGGCCAATCATATTCCATGAAATCATATTATTGACTAATTCTATTTCCAAAAAAAAATCATAATATGGATCATTCATATTTCTATAAATTATATCCTAAAATTAAATCTTAATAATATAAATTATATGACCTAACTCCTACATCCCATTTCGGCTACGGTAATTCCAGTTATCAAACAATTCATATTCTTAGATCCTGAAAATATATTTTGTCTGATCACAATAAAAATCATAACATTTTTTAAATTACCTCTAATTTGAGTAAGTGCCTGTCCATAACAATGCAACATAACAGCACAATCAGCCGGATCATTCTGCATTCTGGCTGAGTTCACGCATGCTTCATAGAATTCTACTGCTCCAGCAGATGGTAGAAAATTCATCAAGAGGTACTCGGCATGTTGTGCTACGTTAATCATTACGTGGTAACGTTCGTCTCCACAATGCATCGCCTCTCGTAAAAACTTTGCAATGTTCTGCATCTCAATGCTTAGTAGTGGAATTGTGCTCTTCGGTTTCCGATCAATGTAACTTGACATCTGATGCAGTAAATCGGCGAAGAAGTCACAAAAGCGATCACGGACTAAGTCTTCATCGTGTAAATGTGAGAAATGGTCTCTGATGTACTCACGAATAAACGGGTGGATGTCGTACCTAAGTGTATCAAACGCATCGCTGATTTCGATTTCAACATTCTCTTTGTCTAATAAAGAACGTTTACATAAAGGATTCAACACATCCTGTTTAACTGTGGCTGTACTCGGTTTGCCAGTCACGGCAGCCGCTAGACGTGGTCCAAAGGACCCTGGAATATACTGCAATTCAGAGGATTTCTCTTGCAATATTGGTGACAAAGCATCCATAAATGTGTCAATCACAAGCAGTTTTTTGTCAGAGCATTCATCAAGACTGGACATTCTCTTTTCCAACCTGGTAGAAAGCTCTGTCGGAGTATATTGTCCATTTCGCAGTGCTGAACCAGCAACAATCAACAATTTGGGCAAAAAACTGCATAAATTAGCAAGTTTAACTTTATATTTCTGAATGTTTACACCTTCTGCAACTAATTCTAAGAGAGTTTCCGCATCTTCTGGTTGAAGTGGTTTGAGATCCAGCGAGTAGAGAACAATGTGGTTGACAACTCGAAATTTAAACCTTGTTGTGACTAAAACCTGAACCAAATCTGATGATTCTTCGATTAAATTTAGAATGGAATCAATAAACTCTGTTTTTGCTGTATTTTCAGCCAATAATATATCTTCTGCATTATCCAATAGTATGAGGTGATGATGTTTGGTGTTATGAACAATGTCCAATATACGTTGAAACGGTGATGTTAATTGGCTACTCGGAGAACAGCAATCATAGGCGACCGCTGATTTGTCTTTTTGAATATGTGATTGATCTAGTGCATGATACGATTGTTTTGATAGGGTAAACAGATTAACAAGCTGTGAAATGATTGGTTCAATACTCTTGACATTTCTAACACTAATATCATGTATATGCAAAACAGACTGATCTTCTTTGTAACTTTCTTCCATTTTCTTCAATATCTGTTTTGCTAATTCTGTTTTCCCAACCATGGGTTGGCCTGTTATTTGAACGATCTTTTTACCAGATTCCAATGCCGTCTGCAACTCTGACAGCTCCTTCTCTCGACCAATGAACGTGATATTCTCTTGTGACGTCATCTTTGTTCTACGGGATTCAATATACTGTTATTATATTGTATGGCAATTAGAATACGTTATAATAATTAGTGATCATTCACATGTGATAATTAATGCAGTTCATGGTGATAATTATATCGAAACAGACTATTAGGTATTCAGTCTACAATTAGAAGAAATAAATGCAGAAAACCATGAAGGGGTGTAAATAAGTGAATGTCAGTAAATATTACCAGGAACGAGGAAACACAATCTCCTGTGCTGGACAGCACATTCACTATCAAATCACAGTGTTTTTACCTGTTCGAAGCTAAATAATTTGATGCTAATCAACACGGCGCATGTGCAATAACTGGGACTAACCTTTTTAAGAGATGAGTAATTTAGTAATAACCAATTTTGAACTATTTTATACTGGGCATTGTCTATAGGATTCACATGAATTAGCTTGTACAGAACCTTCAATTATTAGAAACTATCATGTACGTTTAATTTTGATTTTTTTAATACAACTGTACATTGCGATTTTTCTAATGACTATATACGAGATCGCAGATTATCTCCTATATTGGAAAGGGGGGGTTAAGCGAATATATACGCCACAAAACATATTGTTTTTGCAAATTCTATTGCATAATGTTTTTATAACTGTATTGTGTCTAAATGTTTATATTGATTTGTTGATCTAGTGATTGTATGAAGCCGATGATGTCATTGATTATGATAATTGTACAGACAATATTAATTAATGGTGTATCAGCACATGTAAGTAAAATGTTGTCCAATGAAATAATCATTAAAAAGTATTGATATTATTGTCCATTATCAAAAAACAAAACAACCTTAGTTTCTATTTTTTCTGTGACCTTTGACCAAATACATAGCAGGCTCTTGGTAGCAAATGTAGATCATAGGCATACACATGCATCTGTAACACGTTTTATACAACATTTATTTTCAATTTGTACCTAATAATTTACCCATTCACTCTTAATTGTGAATTTATAAAGTCATTGACCTAAATAATTTTGACACTATAATCAATATTATAGCCACTGTTTGGGCTGATATATGGTTATTGAAGGTCTCATGCCACTAATTAACCAATTTAAATGCCCAGCAAGAACCAATGAAATTTTTTAAATATTATTTTTCTCAGGTGCTCCCTGTTTGAGGGCGTAATCACCTGGGTCAGAGGTGCGACCAACATGTGGTCTTTTGTTTACTACTTAGCGGCTGTGTACCTGTGGGTTTATTCTGTGTGTTAATGTATGTTCTAATCTTGGTGTTTTTCCAGTGATTTCTCTTGGTGCAATCCAAATACAGTAGGTGTGTCTTGTTTACCTGAGATTTGCAAGAGTTTGAGCTGGCCAACATGTTAGTTTTTTTCATATGGTTGATTACTGGCATGTTGATTTCCCATTTTTGAGCCATATTTTCAACTTTCTTCGTCATTTTCATATAGCAATCTCGTCATATGTTAACATTGTCGTCTATGGAAATTCAATTAGTGGTATGAGCCCTTATAGCTCACACGGCTACCCTGGACGCCATCTTGAATTTGAAGGGGTCAAAGATTACAGAAAAGGTAGCAAGACTTTTTTTTCGGTGGGTATTTAACTTACATGAGGTCATACACTATTGACACACATTTAGATACGAAACAGTGATTATGAACACACTATGCCATAGAATCTTAATACAACAATCTGTGGCGTAGATATAATCTTATTTCTCCTTTCTTCCAGTATAATGGGGGCAATCTATGACCGCTTCTGGCCCATGACCTCTATTGTGAGGTTAAACGTCAATGAAGCACAATGCACATTTTTCATAACATATACAAACTAGTCTTAACAAAGTCATACATAATAGGTTTTAATAATTTCCAATAAGTTTTACTATAACCCGGCATCACAATACAAACTAATACCCATTAACAATGCCCAGTGTCAGTAAAAAACCTAACAATAAATATTAGCGTAAAACCACCCAGACTCTTAGTGTAATACAGTACGTATACGTTACCCACATTGTGTCGTATCCACCCAGTCGTAACTGTCACGTAGTCTTGACGTAATGTAACGGTCTTGTAATGCTCGGCGTTACAAAGTGTTAATCGCTAATACTGATCTAGAATCTGTTAATCAAATGTTAACAGTAATGCCCACTCTAGACTGCCGTATGTTTACACTATTTTTATGCGGGGAAACTCCAAGGGGAATCCCCTAGTTTGCGCAGTCGCAGTATTAACCCTAACATTGAAGATCAACGCTGTTATTCACCACATGAGTACTGGTAACGCCAAAGTGGGGGCGGTTTACTTCAACGATACAACCGAATGAACGTGTGATTTCTAGACGATGTGTGCTACGTCAAATAGACATATATTTTTCGCGTGAAGTTTGAAGGGCGGTGGTCGTCGCGCAGCGATTTTGATTTTGATGGCGATTTTGATTGTTGTACAAACTGAGACCAAGTGTAATTAGGTAGTTTCTTTGGTGATTGGAAGGCATCGAAGAAGTCATTGGCGGTAATTAGTTTACGTCTCGTCCAGGTCAAAACTCGTATTCGTGATTTTCATTAAAAAAACGCATTGCATTGTGGGAAAAGCAATGTTTATCAACACATGTTGCACATTCGCGGCGCGACGACCGCCGCCCTGTATAGTGCTTTTATTGTTGGCTCTTGTATTGTCCCTCACATGTAGACGCCTGGAATAACTGTATTTTGCACAAATGTCCTAAAAAAATAAAAAAATAAACAAACTATTGCTGGAAAAATGCCACACGAAACAACATTTTTGGAGCAAACAAAGGTCCACCACTGAGCGAATAATTTAATGACAGATGATGACTTTTGTTTTGCGTTGGCGATGTGTTCAATTGTGCAACGACGTTCAGCTGTTTGTGTAAACGCATATCATTCGTGTAAGACGTTGATGAATAAAACTTGCAGTATATTTGAAAGAATTGACCAGCGGACAACATACTGAACATAACAACAGTCGAAAAATGGCGGCCATATATATAAAGAACAGCTTTATTTACATAATCTAAAAATAGCATAGTTACAACTTACATAGAGGTTGTTATTGTCAAAATCAAATGTCATAGTAAAATACATTACAAAATTCGACAATGCTATATTTAATAGCCCAATAAATTCGATTGAAACTTCTAGATACAGGATTGCATACCAACAAATGTTTTTTTTTTTAAATTCACGAATATTAAGTCTCACGCCGTAAAATTTGCACGTTACAGCAGGTTACAGACATGAAAGAACAAAGGCCACGTTCATATACCACGGTTCAAACACTTGAAAGCAACTAATGCAAACTTTACAAAAATGGAAATATAAATACATAAAATGTAATAGAAAACTCATTAATACTCTATTCGAAACATAACAACCACAGTTTAAAAACCATAAGCAAACATGAAACATGTGCACTTTCTATTCTCATTTAAAGATGATATAAGCACCGAACATTACTTTCCCTTTTTGAAAACATACACTACTTGATCTGGGTTTACGGAAGAAGCATGGGATTATCATTGCGTGTATACAAATCCGACATAGAGAACGTGCTAAAGCGACTGGCAGTGACGCTATCCCGTGGGTACCCCTAGAAATACTCATACAATAGGAATTTGTGGGGTGGGGTCAGACAGATATCATTTCGATGTTTACTTAAAAAACAAATAATCAAATATAACAACTATGTAATGAATACTGACAACAAGAGTTCCATTCTGTTTTAAAAAAACAAACATAACAAACACTTCAGTAAAATTAATAGCTTACAAGAAGTTCTTTACTCTACGTAAATATATGGAAAAAATGAAATGTGAGAGTAACCAACAATATTACTAACATGCAAGACATTTAAAAACATTTTAATTAAAATAGATATAGGTGATATAAGAATCTTCATGAACAATAATTTAAATCTAGCTAAGTAACTACTTTCTACAAATATACAACGCAGTGTAAAATCTGCAAACCTTTCAAGTTCAAGACAACAAGCACAAACCAACCATTAAAACCCCAGGTTTTAACATATCAATTTCATATTATTTTAATGTGTCAATGTATTCTGAACCAAAGCATTTGATTATCTATGTAGCAACTGATATTTAAATAGTTGGTATACTCTTTCGACCCTTTCTTAGGTCATTATCCCAGATTGGAAGGAAGGGTATTACACCTAAAAAAATCTTTCTAACATCACGTATTACATACAAGGTACACAGCTACACTTTACAAAAGTATTAACCATATATTAACCATATAACCATTACAATATAGTATTAACCATTATATTATGGTATGTTCCTACTCTGTTTCAAACACCAACTTGAATTTCTCTTTCACAGTTTCTATCTTTTGATCAATCTCTAGCATTTTATCAATTTTATTCCCTTCCCCATACACATCATGCAACCTTTGATACTCCGTCACAGTTTGCCGGGCATACTCCCTAGCTTCCCTGTATTTTTTCATTTGAATGCATGATTCTGTCAAGCAATTCAGGGACTCAGCAACACCACCATTTTCTGGCTCGTTAGCAAGCACTTTTCTTCTAAACTCTAGTGCGTTACTGAACATCTTTTTTGCTTCCTGAAATTTACCAGCACGAAGCATAACTTTTCCCAACATGTTCATTGTATCACCCACAGAAGTGTGCTTTCCCATTAGTTTCTGTCGAATCTCCAATGTTTTTTTATAGTATAGCTCTGCATTCTCTAAATCTGAGCCTCTGGCATAGACTTTGGCTTTGGTGTTGTATATTAGCGCCATATCAGGGTGATCCATACCCATCTTACACCTCATCTCATAAGCTTCGTCTAACAACTCCAACGCTTTCTCCATGTCTTGTCGCTTGCTGTACTCCAAGGCTACATTGGTTAATGAATATATGATATCATTAGCAGGCTTCTTGTTGAACCGCTTCTTCGTTCGCAAAGATAACTTGAAATAATGAAACGCTTTCTCACTGTTTCCAACTTTGTTATAGTAAATACCCAGATTGTTCTGCAAGCCGCCCATAATGGGATGATCTCCTAACAAGTCACCACGCATTGATCGTGATAAATCGTGATATTTTTTCGCTTCAGCCAGCTCCCCTATAGAAATATACAGATCAAAAGACAATTCAATGTTTTTCCTATTATAAGTGCACTCCAATTTACCTTAATAACCTGCTCTATAAAACATGCATCTCTATCAAAAGAACAATTTTTCGTATTGATTTGCATCGCAACTACAGACATTTTAATAAAAAATATGAAATCTTAATATACTCATCTGACATCACTGGGACAAATGTGAATCTGTACAGATTCTGAGTCCTAGTGTGAACATTTTGCCTTGATTTTGTAGACATGCAGGTCATTTTATAACCATATACTTCAAACCATAATCATCATTATATTAGAAAGATTACAAATAAATCTTTGTATAATATAGCTTACCGATAGCTGTGTTTATAACACCTAGGCATGCTGCTGTAGATGAAGTATCTCTATGTGGTATCAAACCTAAATTCTTCTGTATATCATAGGCTTTGTAGAAATAACTGTAATGATACAAGACAACATTTTATTTCATAAAAAAACATTTCACATTACTACAACGGAATTGAACATAGTGGCAGAAGAACATTTTGGGCGTTTCCCGTTGTATTTTATGTGATTTAAAAGACACAAGGTCTGTAGAGGCTCAAGTACTAGTGATAATAATGTCCTGATTGTGAGTAGGAATAATACAGTTATTTTGTATATGAATAATTCTTGAACATTTTTTTGTGGTGGACTTTCATTGTTTTTTCAGCACGAACGGTTAACGTTCCATTTATTCGTTCTTGTTTTGGTAATTTGTCTATAACAGGGTTCATTAAAGATAATTTTTGAATTTTAAATAATCTACAGAGCTTGTAGAGGAATGTAATGCAAGAGCGTTTACAACTAGTAATGATATCATTACTATGAACTGACAATGAAATATATCCACAAATTAGCATAGCAAACCGTGAACATCGTACCTGAGTGCTTCCCGTTCTTTACCAAGCAAATGCAGATTCCATCCAATACTTGTGTAAAGTCTTGCCAGTTTATCTTGCTTGTTTGTCATTGGGGACAATAATTCAGCGGCTTCTTTATAAACATTTCTTGCTTTCTGCCAGTTACCTGTCAAATGTCAAGATTAATCTCAGTTATGATCGCAAAATACACACTCTGCACTAATCTAATCTGAAGTTCATATTTTGAAATCAATTTTATTCCAAACTAGTATATTTAGGCCAGTCTGAAAATCACAATGTATGTTCACCAAAATCCTTATTTTGAACAACCATATTCTTCAAAACACCTACTTTTGACCATTCAAAGAATTATTCCCTTGGCCAATGAAATTCCAATTTGAACACCAATCTATAAATATCTTACAAGATAATTTGAGTTCATGATATACAAATGTAGATCGACCCAAAACCTGGTGTTACATACAGCAATCTATAGTAGATCACTATGCCTTACCCCTAATTTGATTAAGTGCCTGTCCATAACAATGCAGCATAACAGCACAATCAGCCGGGTCATTCTGCATTCTGGCTGAGTTCACGCATGCTTCATAGAATTCCACTGCTCCAGCAGATGGTAGAAAATTCATCAAGAGGTACTCGGCATGTTGTGCTACGTTAATCATTACGTGGTAACGTTCGTCCCCACAATGCATTGCCTCTCGTAAAAACTTTGCAATGTTCTGCATCTCAATGCTTAGTAGTGGAATTGTGCTTTTTGGTTTCCGATCAATATAACTTGACATCTGATGCAGTAATTCAGCGAAAAAGTCACAAAAGCGATCACGGACTAAGTCTTCATCGTGTAAATGTGAGAAATGGTCTCTGATGTACTCACGAATAAATGGGTGGATGTCGTACCTAAGTTTATCAAACGCATCGCTGATTTCGAATTCAACGCTCTCTTTA